GTTTGCTTGTGAGACTTGGCTGGACAAGAATGCACATGGCTGTGGAGAAGCACATGAGATTGTCATACAACTCTTGTTTCAGAAGTCCTTTCAGGACAATCTTTCCTTTGTACAACATTATTTGCCTATACTCAAGTCGATGCCCATCTGTCAATTTCATTCAGTCCCCTGGGGCGCCTGGCAAACACATTTGGAATGCTGTTTCGTTGGTTTTCAATCTTGTTGCTTACAATGGTTATGTGTCCCGCAGACATCCTTGTCTCTTTTGGCACTCGCATCCATGTCAGGACAAGTTTTTTCATAACTCCAAGACATGCTTGATGCATGTAATCAATAGGGAAACCAGTATTCATATCAATGTTTAGCTGGCAAAGTGGAGTTTCTTGTTCTCCATTGTGGTTCTCTTCCTGCTGCCTTTGTCTGAAAGACCTGTCAGTACGCAGCTGTAGATTGTCCACTTGCTGATATGTCATACGCCCTAGCCACTGACTTTTCTGAATGCATCTGTCACATCCATAGTACCCTGAGACGTTTTTGATTGATTTGATGAATGCCTTGGCAGTTGCATCACAGATAATGCCACTAATTTGAACTGTGATGTGTCATCCTTGGTACCACAGACCGTCTTTCTCCAATTTCAGAATTTCCTCAACTGTGTCACATAAAAATTCCAAATCACAGGGCTTTGAATTTCCGCATTTGATGGCCACAGGAAATACATCTGTTGGTTTTCGGTTGGTGCTACAAAGAACTGGCCAAAGACAAGTTAAAAAAAATTTAAACATCAATATTAAGTCTCAACTCTAAGATATCCATCCTCGAAGTTGTTTCGACAGAGTATTTTTGCATGTGATTTAAAAAAAAAAAATCTACTCCAAAGTAGAAATACTCCATTCCTGACTTCTGCTGAATATTTACAGATTTTGGAGTGTCAAGCAAAGTTCTAGAACATGAACATTATGGTCAATTCCATTTTCCATGCTCCAAGATGCTGTAATGTCCCTTGCTATATTTGAATTTGAATCACCCATCTCCAGAGTCTTTATCTGAACAATCTTCAGAGGTGTTTTCTGTTTCCAAATTCAGTTTTTTATTTTCATCAGTCTACATTATTCCATGATACTCATGTTTTCCCATGATTTCCAGCATATTTGTGTCTGAAGATTCAACTTGTTTGGCTGCCATTAAAGTTTCTGCATTCTCCCTTTTTCTCTGTAGTTTACTTAGTCTTTTCAAAGAAACCCACTCCCTGTCATACTCTCTCTTCTTACTCTTCCTATCCATGGCTTAAATCAGAGAGAGAACAAGATTCATTGCCTAATTCCACTAAATTTTTGCTGATATTCAGTTAGGGCTAGGATTAGTGTCACATGTATGTCTTTGAATAAATATGTTTTCTGAATAGGCACAAAACAGTAAATGAATTGTGAGCCTTTCTACAGAATGGGGGTTAAGATCTATACATAATTGACTCTGGAATTTAGTGTGATTTTTTAAATGCAAGATGTACTTACTATTATCAAAAGTGAAGAATAAATGTAGCTGAACTGCTGGAACTGAAGTGGTACAAACCACAGAGCTGGAAATAAAGAAATGTTTCTTATAAATATAGTAAGTATGTATAAGTATGTAAATATAGCCGAAATCACAGCACAGCACAGTTTTGGGAAAGTCATGGAAATTTATTTCGCAAATCTTTTTATAATAGACTTGTTTAATCACTAATTTTTCAACCTTTACTTATTCTCGCAGCTTTCGAGGTTATGAGGGAAATTCCTGCAAACATTTATTCAATAGCATGTAGGTTAGATGAGTAAATAAATCAACACAAACTATCTAATCAGTCATTTGAAAACGGCTTGAGTACTGTAGCTGTACCGCGTCTTCTCTCTCTCTCATTCTCTCAAAGTGGCTTCACATCAGTGCATCTCGTCTGCACTACAACGAGCTGCTGCACGCAGCGATACAAGACTTTCGCTCGTGTTTAGGGACAGTTGACAGAACTGTCACTTGCCTAATCGGGTCATTGTGGCATCGTCACAAAAATGTATCATTTGCACATCTTTTTAAGTCTTTTTAAGCCATTCGATACTCACGTGCTCCAGAGGCGGTTTTCTCTGCGCTCACAGTCACGTCCAAAGCACGTGCGTATAAAACCGCCTCGCGAGCATCGAGTTATTTTTCACAGATTGTTGTGCTTAAGGGGCCAAATACACACAAAATGTACTGGTGAGTATCCTCGTAAGCACAGTCGGTTTTGTCTTAATTAAATATTAACAGTTGAGAAAGAAAACGCATGTGTATCAGTATTGGATCTGAGCATTCGGTCTTGTGAGAACAGCCGGGCCGTTCACACGTCTTGTCTTTTGTGCGCTCAAGTTTGTTATTTTAAATGTAGATGTGTTGCAAGTGCGCTCACAATAGAAGCTTTTTTTAAATTGAAATATATGCAGGTTATAGGTCAGCACGAAAGTCTTTCATTGGTGCTTGAGGAGAGGGATCCGCCAAATGAGGTGGCGGATCGGATTTCGGAGGATCTGGATCCGGCTTGTTCCGGCACAAATTAAGCCCTGTGTGTTTGGGTGTGTGTAAAGACTTTAGATGCAGATGCAAAAGCCTATAAGTGCTGCCTGACATTTTTCTTCTATAATGAGGATTTTAAGCAGGCTCCTACATTTATGTTTAAAGTTTAGCATTCTTATGAATATAAAGTTTAACATTCTTATGATAATGGTATGTAATGCATATGAAAATGAAAAAAAAAAAAGTTACAAATGATTTTGAAAAAAACATTCTTGGAGCAGCATTGAGGAAAACATGCACAGTTAATTAAATTTCTTAAAGGGGTCATCGGATGCTACATGCACTTTTATAAGTTGTTTGAACTGAAATGTGTGTTGGCAGTTTGTGTACACAACCACCCTATAATGATAAAAATCCACTCCAATCTTTACCCCTTTCTCAAATCGAGCCGATCTCAGATGCCTGTCTGGATAAAACGCAGCGCTCATCACTGTCACTTTTGAGTCAGCCATCCAATCAGAGTGAAGGAGGGGCGGAAAAATACCACTCCGACGAACTGTCACAACATTCCTGTTACAATGACGTCAACAAGCACAACAACAGGAAAAATGGAGGAGAAATTAATATTTCTGCTTTCTGAACATTCATGTCTCTACCAGATGACTTCCCCGGACTTTTTTTTTTTCTCCCTCTCAGACAACAGATGAGAATGCACAGTCCCTGTCACTGACCCAAACCCAGGCCAACAGCACACAGCATAGATCTCCTGACTCCCCTGATGAGCCACCACCCTGCACACCTGAAATACCTTCACATCGTACTCTGGCTCCAAAGAGAAAGTCAGATGCAGATATAGCAGAATATCAGTGCTGTGTCCTGAAACCCATTAATAATAAACCAGACGATGAGGAGCATTTTCTGTTAAGTTTAGCTGGGGCTTAGAGACATCTTGCTCCACGCACTGTATTATGAAAAATTGATCATTAAAATAATATGATTTAAATTAATCTTCTTTCCCAGTCAATTATTTTCCTCTTTTCATTTTGGACACTATTTTATTTTTGTTGCAATTTGTGGCTTGTTAGTGAAAGTAAAAATGTGAAATATGCAAATTTTCTAAGGTTATGGGTGGCTCTTAAAAGAGTCTTTCTTGATACTACTGGTGGTGGTCCTGATGTTGATGTTACTGATGGTAGTGGTCCTCATGTTACTGCTAAAGCTTGTTCTGATGGTGGTGGGAGTCATCACAAGGCATTAGATGACAGAATGCTGCCATGCAACTTCACCTGCAGGAGAAGAGAAGTGGGTGGTGTACCTCGGTCTAATTTCCGGTGCTTCCCTAGAGGTGTTGTTGCTGCCTACTCACTGGATGGGCTGCATAGCAAGCTGCTGCTCCAATGGCAGGGGGCACAACTTCCTTCCTCTTCATCAGCATCCTCAAAGCGAAGGAAATTGTGAAGGATGCAAGCGGCCTTCACCACTACATCGGCAACTTTTGGTGAGACACCAAGCACTCTGCGGTAGAGTCTCCACTGTGCAGCAAGGATCCCAAATGTGCACTCCACCATCCTCCTTGCACGGGAAAGACAGTAATTGAACACACGCTTCTCTCTGTCAAGGTGTTTTCCTGGGTAGGGTCGGAGAAGGTTCTTCTTCAGAAGAAAAGCCTCATCACCCACAAATACATTTGGCACAGGCTGGAGGTCTTCTGCTCCTGGTAAAGGTGCATCCTCTGGCAGGTCAAGGGTCCCCTGGTGGAGGGCCTTACCAAAGTCAGAGGCACAGAGGGTCCACCATCGCTGCTTTTCCCATATGCCCCCACACCCACTATCCGGAAAAGGTACCTGGCATCAACTACTGCTAGGAGGACGATGGAGAAGCTCCCTTTGTAATTGTAATACATGGACCCTGTTGATGATGGGGCCTGTATTGCAACATGCTTCCCATCAATTGCTCCCAGGCAGTTGGGGAAGTTCCATAGCCTATGGAAGTCTTCAGCGATCTTCTTCCAGTGGTGTTGTTCAGGGAAAGGCATGTATTCCTGGACCATGCCAGACCATATTGCCTCACACATATCTTTTACAATTCCTGCCACTGTGCAGTAACCCATCCTGTAGCTAAAAGCTATTGATCAAAATGAGTCTCCAGTTGATAGATACCTGAAATAAATACAGAAAAAGTTGCATTGGTTCATAAATGATATATATATATATATATATATATATATATCACTGTTCAATCGATTTTGCAGATGTCCCAAACTGTCAGAAGGGAGTTAAAATAACTTTGCACCAGTCTTCTGGTTCCAGTCTTCACACTTTCACATGTGCTGCTGATATGATTAGTCAATTAATGTTAGCTGGTCATTTTGGGTCAGGATCAAAAAAATGAATTTTGTTTTTTGGTGAAAAGTTCATTTTTTGGTCAATGAAGCTTTTAGCAATTATTTAAAATGTATCTGATCACTCTACACAATAATCTAGAAACAATGTGAATGAACACCACAACAGCTTAAGCAGCAAACTTTGCAAAACACAACATTTATGTCACTGCCAAAACTTTTTGCCATGACTGCATACTATAAAATAATTATATTTTTATTTATTTTAGATTATCAGGTTTTTGGGGAAAAAATTAAAAGTAAACTAAACTAATATTATTAATTATTTTATTTATTATAGTTATATTTAATGTGCAGTGTTAGCACCAAAGCAAATCTGCAGATGCTCTCTTGAGAACCAGACTGAAAAACTGATGTGCATCCCTGCTGATGGAAGAGCATGTAAATGCAGCCGCTGCTAAAACCAACCATGAACTGATCAGCTGTCTGGACTTTTGATGTACCAGCAACTACCTAAACATTTCCAAAAAGTTTCCAACACCACCTGTTAAAATTAATACATTTGAACCACATTACATGAACACGATCTACATTGTTGAAACATATTTTCAATGTCCTCCTGCAGTTAGTTCCTTTTTTATGAGTTTTGCAAGTTCCTTTTTACATAAATGCAACATTTTCACAAAAACAGTTCCTTTCTGCAGATATACTGGCCGCACAAACACAACACAGTCCACTATGGGAGAGAAACTAGGGTTAGGTTGCTGACACTGAAGCTGTCCAATAGTGTAAATGAAAATATAGAAAAGGGTAAAACTCAGAAACTATGCAGAGAAGATGAAAAAAATAACATTGAAGATGTCTAATAATATGTGGATGTTGTAAGAGTAAAGTCAGAAAAGAGATTATAGATTAAATGCCACGAGAATCCAGTAATCTGAACTCACAGGCACTGAGATTAATTTGAGAATATATTTCAGTAGATTGTTCAATGTATAAGTTATAGTTTTTTTTACCTCTTTAAAATTATGTTTCATATGTAACGGAGGCCAGCGAGTAAGTGCTGTGCAGGTAAACCTCAAGTGTAATTCTAGCGCACAGTATGAACCACAGGAAAAGTGTCTACAAAATAAACCTAACTGTAAAACCTTTTTAAAATGTAAAGAATGCACGAATGTTTCCTCTTTTTAGGTTAATTAATGACAAATTTGTGGAATTCATAGATGATTTTAGGTGTTTAGGTACAGTCTCTATGAGTACCAGATTGTGTTCATAGCTGAGTGTTTGAATTGAAGTGACTTAATTTAAAAGAAATATTAGATACCAGCCAAGATCCTCACAGATGACAGAGAGAAGTTAAAACATATGTTTGGAGGAGATTGAAATAAAGTGCTGCTTGTGTTTATAGATGGATGGTACAGAGAGAGCAGCAGATCTGATCATCATAAACAACATAGAGGAACAAGTGAGTGAAAGATTGTGTGTGTTTGTGTGTGTGTGTGTGTACTGGTATTCACTACAGTACAGGGAACCAAATGTCCCCACAAGTATAGTAATACCAGTAAATTTTGATGAAAATGTTTTGGTCCCCATGAGGAAACCATATAAATCATAGAGAATGAAGTGTTCTGAAAATCTAAAATAGTAAAAAGTTTTCTGTGAGGGGTAAGTTTCGGTGTAGGGTTAGGGTAAGGCTATAGATAATACAGTTTGTACAGTATAAAAACCATTACGTCTATGGAATTAAGCCATAATGATATGAATACCAGTGTGTGTGTGTGCATGTACTTGTGAGGACCAAATGTCCTCACTTATATTGTGAAATACTTTGACAACCCACTAGTGAGGAAATTTTACTGATCGTGTGTGTGTGAAAAGACGTATAAATTGGCCCAAACATGTTTTGATGTAAATCTAGTGTTCTGCATGTGTTTCTGTGAAGGGTAGATATTGTGAAATACTTTGACAACCCACTAGTGAGGAAATTTTACTGATCCTCACTAGTTAAAAAGACGTATAAATTGGCCCAAACATGTTTTGATGTAAATCTAGTGTTCTGCATGTGTTTCTGTGAAGGGTAGGGGTAGGGATTGAGTTAGGGAATAGAAAATATCATTAACCTGATATAAAATCAGTGGAAGTCTATGCAATGCAATGCAGTGTCCTCACTAAGATAGTGAAACAAATCTGTGTGTGTGTGTGTGTGTGTGTGTGTGTGTGTGTGTGTGTGTGTGTGTGTGTGATTATTATTTCATAAATGATTCTCACAGTCAATATCATATCACACAGAAAGCAGCGCTGAACATCTAACGCTGATCTGTTGATGCAGGTTCTGGGAGCCTGGACAACCGAATACAAAAGAGGAAGACTGCTCTAACTCATTCACCAGGATGGGCTGATTTTCCATGTGATGATACATATAAATGGATCTGTGAGATGGGTATTTTTAAATGACTCATTACAATAAACGTTTATGTATATAGTGTATTTTGAACATCTAAATATGTCTGTTAAACATCAAGTCATGTGTTTCGTAATTTTACAGTTTTTATTTGAATGCCACTTTAATTAGGTTATAATGTAAAATAAATAAATGAAATAAAAAATAAAAACCATTGTAATATTACAGCTTTCATATTAAACTATTTAAATTCACTTTGTTTTGAATGTTCAGGCAAACTTTGTCACATCTGAAGATCTAAACTAAAATCTGCATGTGAAAAACAACAGCGATTCTATGGACTGAAATAATATCTGTAATACACTGATTTATAAATGTCCATACATACAGAATTGTTCCAATATTCTTAAAGGGCTCATCAGATGAACATTTTCCACAAGTTGGCATGATTTATTAGGGTCTTCATGAAATGTCTGTAACATATTTTGCTTAAAAACACTCAATGGCTGTGTAAACAACACCCTTTTTGCCTTGTCAAAAACAGCTCTGCTCACACCAACCCGTTTTGGTGTATGTCTCTTTAATTTGACAACAGAACAATACTGACAAACAGCCGTAAAGGCGAGATGAGGGCGTAAGCAGTACAGGCTAAGATCGTGGCAGGCGGCAGAGAATCACAGTCCAATAAATAGATACGGGTCAGGGAAGGCGGCAGAGAATCCAGAAACGAGAAACAGTCCAGGTCACAACAGAATAAACAATCCACAATGAAGAAACGCTCAGAGATGATCACCTAGGCAAATCAAGACTTCGCAAGGATGTGTGTGTGTGGTGTGATTATATGGAGTGAGTGTAATGACTAGCAGGTGTGTGTGTGCAATCAGTCCCAGGTATGTGGGCTTATGGGAATTGGAGTCCGAATAAGAATCAGTCAATACTCTGGTGAGGAGTCTAAACGAAATTAAAATGGTGTAATTTGACTTAGTCCTAGGTATGTGGGTCCTTTCCAGATTCTGAGTTTTCTACATGGAAATCTGAGACGTAGCTCTCTGGCGGACAACCAGACCCACTGTCCAGGGATGTACTGGGGTTGAGGGTGACGATGACGATTGGCTTGTTCCTCCTGTCTTCTTACCGCACGTTGAAGATGGGTGTGTGCACGGTTCCAAGTTTTCTCACTTCGTTGAAGCCATTCAGTGACAGAGGGAAGATTGGATGGTTCTCCAGGAAGCGGCACAGGCATTTACAAATGTGATTTTATCTGTGGACATTTTTGGACAAAATTGGTTCTTTAGTAACTGGACAGTAGCATTTATTAACCGAGACATTCCCTTTCAGTCAGTCACGTTCGACGTTACGTCAGTCGTGACTGACGCGGTATGCATATGATTTAATATGAAGTGTCCGTAACGCATTATTATGGTTGATAAGAGCAAAGAATGGAGATGAGTTGTTGATCATAATTAGAATAGACATAAGTTGGATTTATACAGAAAGTTTCTGTATAAGTTAATTGCATTAATAATTATTATACGACATAAACTTAATCTTTAAAAAGTTACGGACGTGACTGTGAGTGCTGAATAGTCCTGATCTCATAAATCTAGCCCTTATAAATTCAAAAATCATCGCTGTTTAGACAAAGTGAGTTTATAAATTTTTCGGTCAAGTCTCCATCTTTCTACAAAATGCTTACTGTTGACATAAATTAAAAAATGGGCAGCCTTTGATCTCTCATTTGAAAACATGAAATATAGTTGGATGAAAATGTAATTTTACTATAGGTGTACCCCTCATATGTGGTGGATAAACACAGCGATTTCCTTCAAATTTCTTTTAAAGCACGGTAATGCAGTACAGACCTAAATGTACAACTTAAACAGGGTTTTGTTCTTTTGCTAAAAAAAAATGTTTTTCATGGTAAGGTTGACATTTGCATGGAATTGCTCATATAGGCAATTTGTTGATTCTATGGTCCCAAGAAAGTTCACTGGAGTTAAATATTAGTAAGACTAAAGAGTTGTGTTGTGGGAGGTTTCGTTCGTTTAAAGGGGTGGTCGACCAGCTATTTTCAAAGGCTTGATTGTGTTTATGGGGTGCACTGTAACATGTGCTCAGGCTTCGTTTAAAAAAAAAAAAATAATAAAAATTTCACATATTTTACCTTTATTCTACACCGCTTTTTCTGTTCTCCTAAAACGGTCTGTTGACTTCCTGGTTCTATGAAGCCCCTCCCTCAGAAATACTCAATGGGCTCAGATTGGTTAGTTGGCCCAGTGTGTTGTGATTCGCTAACCACCTAGTGCACGTTGTACAGAAACGTCACGCCCCGTACCATAACGGGGAGTTGCATGTGCTCCGGGGGATTGTCAACAATGGTGTCAATATTACCTTATCAATTTGAGCCCGAATCAGACCCAAAGCTTCATACATGCACAAAATATCTATGCTTTTCATATAATCGTTCTAACAAATGATACTACAGTCCTGGCAGGGATTTTTTGATTACAGACTGTGGATCTACAGTGATCGCCACTGACTGTATAGCACCATTAGTTTTGTCTTGTGTAGCCAAATATCTGTCACCAGAACTAGGAGCCCATTACAAAGACTAACCATGGCATTGGATGAGCCTATCAGGCTAGATGAAATAATTACTTGTATTGGCCTCTTGCGGTGTAACAAGGCTCCAGGGCCCGATGGTTTCCCTTTAGACTTTTATATAAGAACTTCTCTACACAAGTAGCC